AGGTGATGAAGGTTACTGCACCTATATTTGACCCGCTGGTAGACTTGAAAACCTACTTATAAACGAAAAAAAAAATATATTTGTTGGATTGTTGCGAATGTCACATTTGCCCTATAAGCCATTGACTCTTTAGCATGCATTATCCCATTTTGAATATATATATATATTTATTTATTCCTTAAATCCATCCTTTTCGGGCATAAACCAACTGGGTATGTATCCAGTCAGAAGTCCGATGTCAGAAAAAGACTTAATTGAAGTGGATTGAGGCATAGTCCTTCCTAGTTGTCCTGACAACAGGAGTTGACCTAAATTCACATCATGTTGCTCTTTAAATCGGCTAAAAGTGTTAGATTCGCCAGGTTGTCAACCCGAGAAAGACTCACGTGTGGTGGAGATGCGATCATGCAACTGGTGTCGACTACAAGGAGATACGGAGTTGCCAGCAATTCGTGTCACCGACAATCCAACCGATGGTGGTGGCGGCAGTGCAAGCGAAAGCGGTAGAGAAAGGGAAGTGGCCAGAAGCAATTGTTGCTCCGGGTCAACGCAGGCGTTCATTCGCATTGGCGTCATTGCTGGCGTTGGGCCGATGAGATCGTGAGCTGAGTTGGGCTGCAAGTTTGGCGGACAGAATATCTCATCAGAGTGGCCGAAAGCCGTGCCGGCCAGACTGGCTGATCCACTGGTTGGAGTGATCAGAAGACCCACATTCGCCTCACCAAGCGCACTTTCGTCAGAAGGCCCGACAAGATGTCTGTCGTTGGGCGGAAGCTGATGCTCCAAGTGGCGCGAGACCGGCGGCAAAGAAAGGGTCATACTGCCGGTCGACGCCGATGCTGGCATGCCAGGGTAGGCCAGGTGATGTGGTCCGAGGTCGGATGGTGGGCCTCGAACCAGGTTGTTTGGCAGAAGACCGCCGGGCTGTTGAAGACGGACTCTGTGCAGATCTACCGACAATGGATGTCCGTAAAGTCCGCTGCCGAAAGGAGCGGATGGGCCGGGTCCAGGCTTCGGGCAGCCGTTTAGTGCAGCCGCTCCGGCGACCATACCAGATGGTATCGGAGCCTGGCCGACCTGACAAGAGTGACCAGGCAACACTGCGAGATGAGACGGACCGCAGGGCAAGGGGACGGACAGACCTCCGCCGACTGGCGGCAAGACGGCCTGACCCGGCGGAGGCGGATGCGGATGCGGATGATGATGATGTTGATGTTGATGCTGATGCTGATGGTGTGGATGGTGGTGATGAGCGAGACCGGATCCCACTATCGGTTGGGGGTGACCGTGGGCCAGTGGATGGATGTGCATGTGGTGCGGTGGGGTGGGAAGGTGGGCCGGATGTACCGAAGAGCCCAGAGATGTGGCTACTCCGGGACTGGTTGCCGGGGGTGGGGCAGAGGCAAGTTGAGGATGAGGGGGGGTTGGAAGGTTGGGTGTAGGAGTGAGTTCGGTAGCTGGAGGCGGAAGTAGGCCACCTGGAGGTAAAGGCAGTTGTGCAGCCATTTGGTGGCCCGGAGAGGTGCCGGGGTGCAGACCGGGGGGCAGATGTGGCTGCGGAAAGACCAAAGAACCTCCGGAGCCAGGCATATATCCTGGAAGAAGGGGGATGTTGGGAGGAAAGGAACCTGCGGCAGCAGCGGCCATCACGGAGTAGAAATCCTGAGCAGAAAGAATACACCCACAAAGAGACTGTAGCACAAGGAGGCCAACTGGCCAGCATTTACGACATGTCTATCTGCCCTTGTAGTAGGAATGGCTAAACATTAAATATAAAGTAAGGGTTTCGAGACTACCAGTAAATCAGTGTAATGAGATGTATTCACCCTATTTCGTCTAAGGTGATGAAGGAATCGAGACTACCAGTAAATCAGTGTAATGAGATGTATTCACCCTATTTCGTGTAAGGTGATGAAGGACTGGAAGTGACTACCAGTAAATCAGTGTAATGAGATGTATTCACCCTATTTCGTGTAAGGTGATGAAGGACTGGTAGTCGGTGTAATGAGATGTATTCACCCTATTTCGTGTAAGGTGATGAAGGACTGGTAGTACTACCAGTAAATCAGTGTAATGAGATGTATTCACCCTATTTCGTGTAAGGTGATGAAGGACTGGTAGTAGAGATTTTCCCCACAATGATATGAGTTTAGCTGACTTTTCCATTGAATTTCACATAGCCTTGCTTTCCCAAAAGTTG